AATAGTTTTTTCTTATATTTTAATATATTTTATATACATAAATTTTATGAAAAAATATTTATTATTTTAAAGAACATAATTTTATGTTATTTTTAATGAAATGACTATATTTTGATGTATATTTATTGGTATTTTATATTTTTTCTCATCCACAATACTTTCTCATCCTCCTTCTCCTGTTTTTGTGTAGTAGAAAGAATGGAAAAAACCCAATAATTATATATATGTGTTCCCTTTTTCTGCAATTACTGCAGATAAGTTACCTGTAGTAAGCTCAATACGACGTCGTTTTGTAGCGGAAATCATGGTAATTTGTAATTTTAATTTGTTTCAGGATTATTATAGTCTTTATAATTATAATTTTTTAATCTTTCATCCAACAACGACGTCGTTTTGGGAATAAATGTAGATAACTTATCTGAAGTAACTGCAGAAATATTTTGCTGTATATTAAAACACGATTGTTTCATTTGAAAGACACAAAATTATATCATTTAAAATAATAAACATTTTTTCAAATTTCTATTTAATGTTTTATTCTCTGAGGTAATGAGGATAAAATTAATAAAGCAATCAAACACTTATGGCATCACCATTTATGGTCAAATCCGAAAAAAATAAAGAATTTAATATTTCTCATGTTGAATAAATTTTTTTTGTCTCATGCAACACACACAAAATGAGTGTGATTCACTTTTTTTTTATCTCTCTTATTTTCAAGGGTTTAAAGTTTTTAAAATTACTTTAGATAATTTTATCTAATATTCATCAAAATACATGCAAAAAAATGTGTGGAATCCACGTGGACTTATGTGAAAAGAAGAGAAAAAATATATATAAGTCTCATATATTTTTTATGTGTATTTTGGTGAACATTATACAAAATTATCTAAAATAGTTTAAGAAAATTTAAACCCTATTTTTAATAGGTCTCATTCACTTTTTTATATCTTGTATGACATAATTTGTCTTATCCAACCTAGGAAATATATTCCCAAAAATAAAACAGATTGAAAGTTGAAGCGTTATAATATGCTGCCATTAAAGGAAAAAAATACTTATACAAATTATGTTAAATACGTATTCATAATTCAAACTATTCGTAAAGTGTTACAAGAAAACTGCGTTCATTTATAAATTTGTTCAAGCATCGATAAAAATAAAATAAAATAAAAAATACCATTTTCCATACTTACGTTGACGAGCTCGAACCAAATGCATATTTTTTTTTAAAGAATTAAAGTTATCGGAGTTTGCGGGAACGTTCACGCGCCAGATGTTGGGAGTGTAGAGCTGCGCTGTTTCTTAGCACATGCTATCACTGTTTTATCAATTTGTTGCTTGCGTAGTTTAGTATCCTCTTAAAAAGCATCCGAGGAAGCCTCGACGTGGCCAACCCAGTATCTGCCACGTTTCAAAACGACAAAATGTGCTCTCCAATCTTAATTTTTAAGTGTGCATGAGATTAAAGTAAAAACAAAATAAAATGCGCAAGCACATGGGGTTAGTCTATTGGTGGAAATTGTTACTTATTTTAATGAGTCCACACATATGAAGTAATATAATAATGTTTTTGTATTTACTATTCAGTTTGTAACTTTTAATGCAGAGTTCGATCTGGCTAGCTTATTAATAACCTTAAACTATGAAAAAGTTGTTCACGGATATTAATCCTACTAGTTGTTAATTTTCGTTTCGATGGTTAGTAAATATATATTTTTCAACTATCATTTAAGGAATAGGTTATTTTATTTACCATTTTTTCTGTCTACCATCTTCTAATACCGTTAGATTAGAATCTTAACTAATATTTATCTTTTTCTTTCTTCTTGATATTCTGATCTAATAGTGTTGGATGGTGGTAGGCAGAAAAAATAATAAGTAAAATAACATATCTCATAATTTAATCATATATGTTATTAGATGAAGGGTATTAATTATACCAATAGTAGGTTTCTTAAGAGACTATTTAATCTATTATATTTTAATAATATAGTCACTTTAAATGTTTTTTATATTATGGCTCATGCATAATTAAATGGTAAAATAAAAAAATTAGATTGATTCAAAATTGAATATTAATTGTTATTATATATCATAACATCATTAAAATACTTTTACCATATAATTGTGTAAGATGTTAGACTAATAATATATAATTGAATGAAAAATGTTTTAAGAAAATTAAATTAAATGGATAAACTTTCATTGATTTCTTAGAAGCTGGAACCTAATTACGTGTTTCAAGTTAATAGCGTTAATCCATGAAAAGCCAAGGTGGACCCTATATATAGACGAAAAGGGGGGTTTAATGAAATCCAAAGAATCTGCGAGGTTCTACTTGGCCCACCTCACATGTGGGCCATTACCGTCATGGGTCCTAATTTTATATGGTTGTTTCTTTTTGGAGTGTAGTGTACTTTGGTGGGTGTGTACTTTTTGTTCTAAATTATTATGTTGGACTCTCCACTAGAAAATGTGTGTTCAATAAAATCTAAAATGCATACGTTCACCAAAAAAAGAAATAAAACGCATACGATATAATTATATCTTTTATATCCATGGGTTTGACTACAATGTGATTTGAATAATAATATACTATTATCTATCTTTTGCAGAAATTCTTTCCTCGAATATACTTTTAATATCACATGGCTTGAGTTTTCTTATTCTTGTTTACTTAAAGCTTCAATTACTAATGAATAAGCTCAACACATAATCTTTGGTTTTTTTTTTTTAACATATTTTTTAGCTTAAAAAATAAAGGTAGAGAAAGCGTGTATTGTAATATATGTTTTTATTTTTTCATTATTTAAAAATAAAATAGTGTAAGAAATAAGAATGACGTGTAATGAAAATAGTGTACACGTAATATTGTTGATTATTAATAATACAAATTTTGTATCAAATCCCCTTATATATGTCACTGTTACAGAAATTAAAAAATTAACTGATTTTTTTTGTTGCATAAAGTGATTTTAGCTTATCATATATCGTAAGCCGGTAACAATTAGTTTAAATATAGTTATCAATGATCCTCCGAAAAAATGACAATCATCAATAAAAAAGGAATGAAACAATATTTTGGGATGAGGATCCTCGTGAAAATTGACATGACCATGTAATGTGAGGAATCATAATCATACAAAAGTGGATCAATGATAAAAAAAGATGAGAGAGAAAAAATGATAAAATAGGTAGTTACGAAATCATAACCGTTGATTTACCTTTATATAGTCGTGATCTTCCCACATGATCATATCATGTTTTTTGACACATTAGAGGATCCATTTCCATATTTTGGAGACTGCATTCCCTTAATAAAATAATAATTGTTTTATTCAAAATAATTTTTTTTTTTTGAATACATTCAAAATAATTATTTTGTTCACTAATAAAAATATGGCTACACTGTGAAACAGAGTATTTGATCAAGTGTTTCGCCTTTATAAAAATTTAGTAGGTACTTGTTACTTTAATTGTATAGCAATATAGACTCCAATTTAAACTTCAATGAAATTAATTTCGTCCATTATTATATTATTATGAAAATAGCAATGTGAAAATACTAGTTGGCCTAGGATCAGTGATGGGCGTACGTTTTGTCTACACTCTACATGCTTGGAAATGACAAGAACCCACGTTAGGTGGGGACGTCACATCCATAATCAGCATTGATATGATAAGATAATACAATAAGAAGCTACAAATAAAGCAAGATAATAGAACAATAGACTTTACACATGTTAGGTACTATGCTGACGATATTCGTTTCCTAAAAGCATAATAATTACCAGGGACAATATCCATTTTATTATAATATAATATTGCTTGCTTTGATATTAATTTTATGTTAAAGGTTTGAAAATATAAACTAATAAATTGTCTTTTACATTTCTTAAAAAACATGGGATAAAATTTATGTATTAATATTTAATGGGAAGGATTACGTTTACAACTTTTTTTGTTTACAACTCTTACAACTTCAATTATATTCTCCAGGGAGTACACTACCGGAGAATGTACTACCGGAAAAATATAGTTGAGGTTGTAAGAATTGTAAACAAAAAAAAGTCCATATTTAATAAATATACATATTTCAAAAGCGATCTAATATATGAAAATACTTGCCCCAAAACCTATACTCAAAAAGCCCTTTTGCTTTCTACTCCAAAGTGTGTTTAGCCCGCCTTCCTAAAAATGTTATTTTTATGTCTTGTTTATTTAAATTTTTTTTTTTACTAAAGTTAAAATTATTTAAATTTTTTAAAAAATATTTGGTTTTTGAAAAAAAAATTGACTTTTGACTTTTGATTTTTTTAAAAGTTAAAATTTTTAGCTTTCAAAAAAATAGATTTTTAATTTTTTTTATAATTTACGCTTTTTTTTTAAATCAGACATCCAAACAGACATTTTGAGGACTACTTTTTTTTTTTAAAAAAATAACTTTTGAAGAAAAAAAGGCCATCCAAAAAGTTTTTTTTTTTTTTGGAGAAATGCTTTTTTACAGTGATTTTCTCAACTATGATTTCAATAAAGTAGGCTTTCAATCCCAACTTAATAAGTGGAAAAAAAAATTATACCCAAAAATAAGTGGGGAAAATTAACTTGCAGTTACAAACCATTTCTGAAATTCAGCCCATTTAAAAAGACCATGTGAGGGGTTCAATCAATTTAAAAGCCACAAAGATATGCAAATTCTGAAAACATATTTTCTGATTTCTTTATTGGATTGGTTAATTTTAGTATCAATGCTCTCTTTTTCCCCTATCACAGAAAAGAAGAAAGAGACACAAATTACTTTTGTGTTAAAATTTTATAAATCTTAATGACAGATCCCTCCACAATAAACTTTTCTCTTTCTTTATCACTCTTACTGTTTTATAGAAAACAAATTTTAAGACGGCAAAAAGGGTTGCGGCTTGCGACCAATCAAGAAACAAATGCGTACCAAAGAATGCATTGGAATAGAAACAATTCTTAGGAAGTTGTCAAGACAATACCTCATAACAAAACTATTTATATAAAAGACAATATACAACTCTACAACTGAGTTTATGGTTATGTCCATCTTCAACCTCCAATACAGTGTGCACAAGCTTTGTTAATATATCAACAAATACTTACTAACAAAACTATTGACATTCAACATCTAAAGAACCAGTCACAATGATCCTCCATGGTAACTCACTTTCAACAACTAACCATAGCATCGAATTGGATCATTGCATCCTTTAACAGCAGATTGCTTGAAACCAAATCGGCCACCTTTCTCAAGGTATTGTTGATGGTACTCCTCTGCCCGGTAGAACTTCTTGGCAGGAAGGATCTCAGTAACAATCTTCCTGTTCAACTGCTTCTGTTGTTCTTCCAAAGACTCTCTCGCCGCCTTCTCTTGTTCAGGCGTGTAGTAATATATTCCAGATCTGTACTGTGTTCCCACATCATTCCCCTGTCACAGAAGAACATCAATCTGTCACTAAGTGCTTAAGCCACAGGATGTATATTCTGGCCACTCAAATACCACAACTTGTCATCATATATTCGAAAGTTCATACATGAATGGATTTGGTTATTTGAATGAAAGACAGAATTACAGAAATCAAAGCAGGCATTTTGTAAGGGGGCAAAATAAGAAAGCACTGACTTCAACAGAAAAAGAAAGAAAGGACAATATAAATATGTAATTAAACGAAATAGATAATCCCATATCAAAATGGTTTTCTAGATGCTCATGAGTCATTCCGGAGACCCACAACATACTTGGAAGTCCAACATAATAATTTGTACGCTGCCCAACATATAAAAAACAATTCAAAGCTGAATTTTATTCACAAGGCAGAACCACAGTTGGAACAGAAAAAATTAAAAAAGCAAAAGAGAAGTTGGAACTAGTTCATTTCGCAATAAAAACAAAGCGAAAATTAGCATTTGCAAACTCCTAAATGCAACTGATGTATGGAGTTCCGGATGAGCCATCCAATTCAACCTTATGATAATACTTAGGTTCCGCAGGATGAACACAAGTCCCTCTCCCTATCTATAGTAATGTGGTTCTGGAGCAGGACATGATTTTAAGTCTTCTCTCCCTCTCCCTCTGTATTTCTTTCTATCTATCTATGATTTATGTATCGACAAAAAACTTGTTGATAATTGTATCATGAATTTAAATTGAACAATGGAAAACCAAAAGTTTGGACGTCTCTCCATACTTATTTCCTGTTAAGGAGTATTAGATAAACTTGAAGCAGATGAAAATGCGAAAAAGAGCAATAAAATCATTTCCCTTTTTCAAGACCAGAAGCAAAAAATCAAAAATCTCAGTGCTCAACATCCCCTCCCCCCAACAAAAAAAAACCAAAATGAAAAAGGAAAGAAAGAAAGAAAGAACAAATCATTCAACCAAATACTTTTGACTCAAAACATCGCACCATGTGCAAACAGAAGGGTCAAAACAGCCAAAACAATTATTACCAAGAGACTCCCCAGGAATTTGATTGGACCCAAATTCAGCAAAAGAACATAATTTCCAAAAGAAGACCCGACTAGATATCCAAACATAAATGCACTTTGGCAGATTAATTATGGAATAAGAAAAGCGTAACAAAATGATTAACTCTAGAAGTAATGCATCATTAAATAATTCTAAAGAAACCCAAAGTAACAAAAACCATTTACATTGGCAATCCACACGTCCAGATTATATTACTCAGATCAGCAAAGTCGACATGCCACTTTAGACAATAAAAGAACCCAGTATCAATGAGAAACCAGATTAACTCGATTTAACATGATAGGGTTTATAACACAAACCAAAACTCTATGATATACCTGTCGATTCAGTGTGGTAGGATCATGTCTAGCCCAGAACGCATCAAGCAGACTCTCATAGCCACATTGTTTTGGATCATATTGGATCCTTACAACCTCTGAGTGGCTTGATGTCCCTGAACACACATCCTCATAGCTTGGATTATGTAAAAGCCCCTGGGTGTAACCAACCTCTGTCTTGGTCACCCCAGGCACCCTCTGGAAGGCCAACTCAACACCCCAAAAGCAGCCAGCACCAAACTGGGCAAACTGCTGGCCTGGTGCTGGTATGTCATCATCTGGTCCCTGAGGAATGGACGAATCCATGTTCTCCGGTGCCCTTGTGCTACCAAACCCGAGTCTGTTCAACAAGTTCATGGAAGGCCTGTTGAAAGCAATACGGGGACGACTCTGGGAAAAGAAGCAAGAAGGCTTGACAGAAAATCTAGAAAGTGAGGGCAGGAACTTTGTCTTGGAAGGACTGGAGAAGGAAGAAGAAATGAACACTAGAAGGGAACTGGACGTGGTGGTGCAGCTGCTGCAGGTTGCTGTTAATAGTTTGAGTAACATAAGAGCCCTTTTCTAGACAAAATAATAAATTTAAAAATACAATCCTGTATAAATGAAGGAAAAATATTTTCTTATGTTGCATGAGAATTCAATTCTCATGTTGTGACCCTCTGATTTGCATGCAAAGTTTTTCTTTTCTTTTTCTCTTTTTAATAAACGTGGAGCCCACCACTAGTTGAGTCACAACATGAGAATTCAATTCTGAGAAAATCAAACCCCATAAATGAAAAAAACAAAAGTGCCACCTAATCAAGATGCCAAGAAAACTAAATGACAAATTTAAACAAATAACTGACAGCTTAAAAACAAACATTTAATTTAGACTCATTATCAATATAAAAAAAAGCTTTATATTATCAATGAACCATATGATGCTACATTTAAAAAATGGTAAAAGCCAGAAAACGCTTAGTAGTGAATTATTATAAGGATATGTCACTTGTTTATTGATAGTAGAAATTTTTTTATACTGATCAAAAATCATTTAAATTTTTAAAATAATTAATTCTCTGACAAAAGTGGAAAGCGTGCAGTCTTATATGAATGATGAATCACATACAAACATAAGTACATGTATATAATCACAAAGATAGGAAAATGAGCCTTTGTTATGAATAAATAAGTGATTGATGGTTTAACTATTAGGACTCACTTGGGGGAAGAAAAAAGATATATATATATATATATATATATATATATATATATATTATAAGCTTCTTATTTCATAGATTTTCCCGTCTAGCCAGCAAGACAACAAATGGATATCCTTAGATCCTAGTGGGTCAAAGATTGTGCTAATAAATTTATATTTTCACATGGAGACAGCTGACCTAATATGCAATCTCCTTGCTCCAGGGCTTTACATAAATTGGAATTTGCAACATAATCACTAAAAACTCATAAAATAAAACCAAATAAAAAACAAATTCATATGACCCGTAATTGTCAATGGAAGTGAGTGTAGAAACATTAAGGAAACAAATTCAGCAAAAGAAATAAAAGGAAAATTCAATATCAGCCATACCTGCTCCACAGATTCTCATCTTCAACCCTTCAACAAATTAATCGAATCAATCTCCATACAAAAATAGATAGAATAGCAATAAATACTTAAAGAAAGAAATAGAGAGAAAATCAAGAAAAAATGAAGAAAACCCACGATCTCTTTTTCCTTACAGATTAAAGGGAAAAGGGAAAGGGGAGAAATTGAATTGAGAAACAAGAAACAACATGCAATTGGACAAGGGAAAGAAGAATAGAATGAAGAACATACGTACCCAATTAAAAGTAAGAGTAAGAGTGAGAGAACGAGAGTGAGAGAACGAGAGAGAGAGAGAGAGAGAGAGAGAGAGACAGAGATGGTAAAGGCTTCAATGGTGGATGAGAAGTGAAAAAGAAGATGAGGTTTCGTTCAGTGCAAGAATGTCCTAGTTGTGAACGACGACGCTTTCTCTCTCTGCTGGAATCAACCTCAAAAGACTGAAAGCCCCATAAGGACTAACCACAACCGCCTTAAGAGTGTAGGATATAAGCGTCAATTCGTAATAATAATCACAATTAACACACTTTCTGTATCACTGTTGGCTTGTAGTGCAACACTGTAATGTCTAGAATATTACAAAAATAGTGCATCTAAGGGTGACACGTCATGAAATATCGTGCATATCCATAATCCACAAATACATTTGTTATTCACTTTTCATGGCTTTTTGACCCTTTTGCCCCTCATTAATTAATTAATAATCAATTTGTCCCTCCTCCAGAACTATCCACCATCCTGCCTTCATTTAGTCGATCAAGTTGCACTTTTAATCGACTAAATGGGCAAAATTCAGAAATCAAGAAACACGAATTTTAGTCGACTAAATATTCACCTTAATCGACTACATGTCGAGCACATTTAGTCAACTAAGGCCATTATTTAGTCGACTAAATATCGTTGAAAACCCTATATCCAGACCTCTCTCAGTCTCATTTGCAATATTTTTGAAATCAAAACCCTTCTTTCTCTTGTTTGTCAGCTGTGATCCTTCCAATCACCCTTCCATTTCATCCCACCATCTCTAAAGCATAGTAATTGTGAAATCATTGTCATTTCCCTTATTTTCTGATTTGTTTTCCCCAAATCCGAACCCAAAACCCTAAAATCCGATTCCTACCCCCAAATTCGTGTGAAAGATGAGCTCAAGTCCAAACATGTATGTTACCATGATTTACTATGATGGAAAGCATTATGAAGGCCCCAACGGTGTTCAATTTGAAGGAAAAACGAAAATGTTGAAAATCAAACGGGGCACTACGTACAATGAGCTTAAGGGGAGGATTCACCAAAATTTGGGGCTACAAGGCAGCCAGTGCGTTCAACGGATGATCGTCAGGGTAGAGTCTACAGTTGGTAAGGATGCTATATTCTACATCGGTAATGATATATGTGACGATGAAGATGTGGAATGTGTCATAGATGCAATTGTGGACCGAAAATTTCAAAATTTTATTGAGATATATGTTGAAATAAACTGTGGTCAATCTTCATCTGCACTTATGCATGAAAGAAGTCAAAGTCAAGAAGACAGAGTGGTCGGTTTATCTGCTCCTGCACCTGTCTTAAGTCAGGTAACACTGAGGGAAATAGACGAGGACGAGGATGAGCATGAGGAGGATATGGACAGTGAAGACGATGGTGAACCCGAGAGTGTTATTCCGCTGGGTGACACCTCAGATACGGACGTAGAGGGGAATTTTGACGCTGACACTAGTTCAGGAAACTTGAGTTCCCAGGTGATGCCACCACTCCGTGTTGACCCTGTTAGCCGTGGTAAGATAGTAAATTAAAGTTTTTAAATGAATATTTCCTATTTGTGTTATCAATCGTACTCACGGAAAACTCCTGGAATTTGGACGTAGGTTCCGATATTGAGCCGTTTTGGAACGAAAGCCCACATTATTCCTTTATTAATTGGGCTCACCCTAATGATGAGACGGAGATATTGTATGACAACGATGACTTCCACGGTGGCTGGCATTTAGGGGATCCATTATATTTGTACCAGGAGTTTCGAACTAAATCTGAAATGCAACATGCAGTCAAATTATATTGTATGAAGTCTCATCGTACTGCTGTGGTGGCAAAAAGTGATGACCATAGATTTGTGATGAAGTGTTGACACCATATTGATGGTTGTCCCTGGTACGTGCGAGCTATGTTGCCCAAGAATGGAAATACTTGGGTTGTTAGTAAGTGGGGTAAAGAACACACCTGTCTAAACCAAGGCCTTACCCGGGACCATAGACAGCTAGATTCTGATGTAATATGTGCAGCCATTATAAGTATGTATTACGCGATGTTTGGTTTAGGGTTTATGTTTACGTTATTTTTACGGTATATTTATTGACTGTGTTGACTTTGATTTTTGTATAGGTATGTTAAAAGAAGATCCATCTCTGAAACCAGTTCTTATTCAGGAGAGGGTACAACGTTTGTATGGATACAACATATCTTATAGGAAGCTTGGAAGGCTAAAATGAAGGCCATTGTGAAGTTGTTTGGCGACTGGGATAAATCATATGCCATCTTACCTGGTTGGCTAACCTACATGACACAGATTAATCCTGGTTCTGTGTTCAAGATTGATACGAACGAGTGTTGTGACGAACGACGTGTCTACACCGATAAGGCTGTCTTTCGCATGTTATTTTGGACTTTTCACCAGTGCATTGAGGCTTTCAAATATTGTAAACCCATAATCCAAATTGACGGCACGCACCTGTACAGGAAATACAAAGGTACCCTCTTGATTGCTACGTCACAGGATGGTGATGGATACATTCTGCCTATTGCGTTTGCCATTGTTCCACCGGGTGAGAGATTGGATGATTGGTTGTGGTTTCTTAGCCTGATGCGTTTCCATGTCACACAAAGGCATGGTATATGTCCAATATCCGATCGTCACCCCAGCATCATCAGGGCTGTGAAGGATCACACAGGTTGGCAGCCTCCATATGTGTATCACGTGTTTTGTCTTCATCACATTGGAAGAAACTTTAACACTAAGTTTAGGGACGTGGAACTGAAGAAAACGCTGATGAAACTAGGTAAGCTATTTTCATGAATGTGTACATGTTGTATGTAATGCTGTTTATGTATAACTCATTCAATTTGGGTTCATTTTTTGCAGAATACTTGTGTTCGAAGATTCACTTTGATTTAAGATTTCAAGAATTTGTCGACAGTAACCCCCAAGTAGCCACATGGATAGATCAGATTACCAAAGAGAAATGGTGCAGGTCTTATGATGAGGATGGTCGAAGGTTTGGTCATATGACGACTAACCTATCTGAGTGTATCAATAAGGTCCTACGGGGTGCACGTAATTTTCCAATAACGGCATTGGTCAAGATGACGCAAAGTAGACTTGTAGAGTATTTTGTCAAGAGGCGTGAAAAGATCCAAAAAGCAAAGACCAAAGGATGGAGAATTGCAAAAAAGGTTGAGGACTTCTTACAAAAGAATGATCAGTTAACTGTCAGTCTCCGTGTCCGTGTTTTTGATAGAGACTTGTAGTTGTTTGAAGTTGAGGATGCCTACAATCAGTCTACGCATGATGCCGGCGACATTATGAGGGTTGACTTGCTAAATCGCAAATGTCAATGTGGACGGTTCACAGCTAGACGATTTCCTTGCAGTCATGTGCTAGCAGTGTGCAAGGTTGAAAAATTGAACCACTACGGCTATGTCGATCCTGTGTTCTCAATTACACAAATTAAGAAGGTTTATGCTGCACATTGGTTTCCAATGGGTAATGAGTTGTTGATTCCAGAAATAGATGGTCCAACTATTATCCCAAATGTATCTTTGGTTCGTGCACAAGGGAGACCGAAGTCTACAAGGATACAGAATGAGATGGATTGGGTTGAGTCCCAACCCACAAGCAGTCAAAGTAGATGTAGCACCTGCAAGCAAATTGGTCACAATAAACGTACATGTCCTATGAGGATTAGACAAAGTTGAACCAATCATGTGCATGTATTTAAGGTCTTATGGTAGAGTTCACGTAATTGTGTTATGAATTTTTATGTTACTTTGTGTTACTGTATAACTCATTATGTTATTTGACTTTTCATGCCTATTCAAATTAGTAACATTGGTCCATATTGATAGATTGAAACTCATAACAATTATTAATATGACCCCTAAATGAATTCACCTAGTTTCGGGGAGCGTAAACAAATGTTTTCAATCAATACGTACCCAACAATGCATACAAATGGGGTATTGACTGTTTTGTACCTGAAATTGTGTTCCCCAAGTCATAATATGCTTGTACATTTGACTACAATCAGTTCCATACAAAAAAAATTCGAGGAAATCAGAATGGGGTGTCAAAACCACTGATTTAGTCGAGCAACCTTTACTGGTTTAGTCGACTAAATGAGTAGTCGACTGAACCAGTTCAGGTTGCTCGACTAAATCAGTGGTTTTGGCACCCCATTCTGATTTCCTCGAATTTTTTTTTGTATAGAACCGATTGTAGTCTAATGTACAAGCGTATTATGACTTGGGGAACACAATTTCAGGTACAAAACAGTCAAGGGGCGGTTATAAACCATATATGTACATGTATTGCATAAATCTTGGTTTAGGGTACCCGAAACTTGTGTTCGTCATTTAACTCTCTTATAAGTGACTGTTCTGAATTGCATTGGACATTTTAGACCCTTTGGACTGTGATTAGACCCAAATTGAAAACAAGAATGGAAAAATACCATATTCCTTCATGCGGTAAACAATAAAAATGACATAAATAAGTAAACGGTTCACAACATGATGGGAACATTAAATAGTTCAGCTCCTAAACATAAAAATACATAAACTACAAATGTCAAATAAGAAGACCGGAGTCAATTACATATCAACACACACTACAAACGTAAAGTAAAAAACATAAACCCTAAATCTAATCCTCCTCCTCCTCGGACGTCGTCTCCTCGTCATCCTGGTCGGACACATCAGCCCCCTGCCCTGCAACATCCTCAACCTGTTGTTGTCCTCATCCAAGCTCTAGACGAGCAAGCCTATCTTCAACACCCTTGAACCGTCCTTGTATATGTCTAAACCTTTCATTCCCTTTCTGGATGTGACTCTTCCTCCATTTTTTGTGTTTCAGCGCTATTTTTCCTATTTTCTTCAGCGTGGCGTTTATGCCCTTCATGACATCACGCAATGAAAACCCACCCTCAGGCTCAGCTATCTCCTGCTGGTCACCCTCATCATCATCGTCAGCATCATCCTCCACCTCGGCTCAACCATGTCTGCAAGTGGAGCAACATCAGGAACCTCAACATCAGCCGCGCCTGTGAACTGCCACACTCCTGTTTGTATGTTCTTTGTCATCTTGCACTGCTCCAGTAGACGCTTTCCAAACTTATGATTATACCTTGTGGTCTTCTTCAAGG